TTTTCTAATCATCCTTTCTATCAGTTAAAAATTCTTGACTTTTAACTTCATTGTTATGCAAAAAAGTAAATAACAATAGCTCCGAACTGTTTTTCTCTAAACTGTTATTTTAGTGACCTCTAGTCTGTTATGAAGCCCTTCTCCTTAGCCACGGAGTCTACCTGGGATGGAGGTGAGGGTGGGAGGCAGGGGCGGGGCGGGGGGGTGGAGGGGAGAGAGACCAAGCCAGGGGAACTGGCTGTGCAGTGTGAGTCTAGGCTCCTGGATCCATAATCTGGAAGCTTTGGGTTTTCAGGGCCACATTTGCACACCAAATAAAGGCTAAATGCCCCTGCTGTTGCAACACTTAAGGCCCCACTCCCCTTTTCTGTGAGTAGCCCAAGCCCCGTCTCTAGCAGAGGGCCAAGCAAGGCACGTCCTGGATGGGATACAGAGGCTCTCTGCACGCTGACTAACGCACTCTCTCCTTGGATTTAGGGTTCTGAGAGGAGCTTTTCCAGGTGACGCCCAGTCCCCCCTCCTCCTGGGCTCTCCAAACAGAAGGCAGGTCCATGGAAGCCAGGCGCAACGGCCATCTTGATTTCCTCCTGGAGAACCACAGCCTCCCACACAAAACTGCTGAACTTGTGCAGCGAAAACCAAGGCAGGCCTGGGGATCCTGCCAGGCAGGAGGCTTCCCTGCCCTTCTCCTCACTGGCCATTCACACGTGACCTATTTCCTTTGCACCTGGCTGCTGTTCCTCTCTGGGCCTTGGGTAGGTAGCACCATTCTGCTTTGCTAGTCTGCCATGAAACGGGGAGGGACAAACTTTGAAAGGCTCAGCTAAAACACCCACTCGAAAGCTGTTTTCCCAAATGGGATTGGAACCTCATTGGTTCGGTGGGGCTAGTAAGCAAAGCTACCCTCCAGCCCCCAGGCTGGTTAGTGTCCCCCGAGGAGAGGTGGGGATTGCAGCCCCATTTCCTCACTGGGTGCATGCCTGCTGAGTAATCAGAGAAATGTAGGGCTGGAAGGAGCCTTGAAAAGCCACGAAGTCCAGCCCCCCGCACTGAAGCAGGACTACACAACCTAGCTGTGATCCTGTCGCACTTCCCAGCCAGCTGATGGCTCCGCCAGCTTTCCCTGCCCCCGTCTCTTGCCTGTTAGAACAGTTAAAGCTCACAGGCTTTCCATACCGGGGCAAAAACCGAAATGACTCGTTCCATGAAAATACCATGCAGGGCTCTGGGGCGGCTGAAGGCTCAACATGAGCCAGTCAGTCAGTGGGGCATGGCACTTTGTGAAACGGTGGGTGTAACATGGGGGCAGAACTAGGTGTGTCTAGCTAGAAGAGTGTCGTTTCTGGCTCACTAGCCAGGGCAAGAACCAGTCCTTTAATGTTAGCTCTGTCCTTCAGGCACTAACTGGGCTGGAGGCAAAGTGAAGGAAAAGGTAACGCGCTCTCCTTACCACTCACTCATCTAATGCCTGAGCACGTCACGTTAAAAGGCAGCACACGAGGTAGCCCTGGCACCGGCCGAGCCCCCTCCTGTTCTGTCCGCACAATAAAACTTTCCCTCCCCTCACCCGCAATGCTTGTACGTAGTCTCGCGTCAGCCGGCTTTCCATTCGTGTTGCTGCTGCTCACCCAGATGTGCTGGGCTTGGTGCAGGAATCACGTGGTGAGAGTCTCTGGCCTGTGCCTTGCAGAAGGTCAAACAGACTGCTCGCCATGAGCCCCGCTGGCCTTAACGGCTATGAAGGAACGGTATTGACCACACCTCTGAGGGCCGCGTCAGCCCATCAGCTCAGCATTGTTTCTCCAGATCATGATTTCAGGAGCGCAGTAAAGGGTGTACTGCAATCAGTGGGCTTTAATAGCGTGTTTCTGAATTACTGTAGATTCCCCAGGTTGCCTTGCTAGGCCAGCCCAGCTCTAGACGGATGCCACTTAGCTGGACTCACTTAGCTCACCGATGCGCAGCCCAAACAAACAGCAGCATTGAAGCCTTGTGGGGGTCTCCCTGAGACAGCCCCTATTTCACTCTAATCGCAAGGGGCTTCATGTGCCCCCCAGCCTCCTCTTCCTTCCCCTTTCTAACATTGCTACATGACAGTGTGCTTCGCCCCCTCAGCAGATAAACCGCTCCTGCCATGCGCTAACAGCCCGAGAGGGTACCACCAGGTGTGTGGGAGCAAAGGCCTAAGTCCCCCTGCTCCCCTTAGCCTGTGTTAGTGAGAGAAGATTAGTGGAGACCTGGTGAATGTGTTCAGCAAGACACCCTCGCGCCTGGCCGCAGAGGTTAGTAGGCTGTTGGAGACTAGCAGGGTCCTTTCCTGCTCTTCCAGGTTAAAAGCCAGGGCCTTGTAGATGAACAACAACAAACCAAACCTGCACGTGCTTTGTCTCCTTGCACCGCTGGTGTCCACAAATGGCCAGCAATAACATGACCTGCAGGCCATGAAGTGCAGAGGGAAAGCAAGGTGTGTGAACAGCAGGACTAGCCAAAGTGCTGCATTGTAAAGGACCGTTTGGATGCCCACTACTGCCCTCAGCAAAGGGGACTGGTGCAGTGCGAGGCACCTGTAGTGTTCCCATCACACCTCCTGCCGGGGTTAGACGCGGGGTGCTTGGAAACAGGCACTCTGAGACAGACGGTAGCTGGGTTTTGTTTTGTTTTTCATTTTTAAACCAGCTAATTTTAATCTCCCTGTATGCTAGATGGATGAACTACACTCATTACCAGCTGTCTAGTGGAGTGCTGCGCAGAGGCAGAGGGTGTGTTAGCCTGCTCTCGCTGGTCTTTGCAGCAGCCGATTTCTGCTCCTATGTTCCTCGGCACAGAGCACACGTGCGCTCAGTATCAGGTTTGCTGCATATTATAGCTGAGTAAATGCTGATTTTAAAGACACCGGGCTCTGTGATTTGTCATTGTTTAGCCTCATGAAGAGTCACGTTACTGCATGTTAATATGTCCTGGTTTAATGACAGGCAAGGCAGGCATTCAGCCTACTCTAGCTTTACCTCCAAGGAAAAGCTGCCTTCATGCTGTGGCTGACTCCTGTGGACCTGGTCCATTTTGCATGTCCAAAGGCCAGCAAGATGTGACACTGTTCCCATCCAGCCCCCGTAGTGGCTGTTACATGCTGGCTCATGTGATACACTAGCCCCCAGCTGAACGGTTGTTCACTGAAGCTATTTACTCTCTGCTCAGTAACATAGTTTAGACACTGCCAAGCACGGACTGGAGCTGGAATGAGTCCATAGAGTCAGCACTGGAGTGGGACGAATATTCCGTCTCAAAGGCCAGCCGAGCCATGGGCCCTGCTTTTCAGAACCCTTTCAAAGTAACCCACGCAGCGGTTATGCTGAGAGTTAATGAGCGCTTTGTGTAGGATGCAGGCCTTTCCAGCTAATGGCCACCTCCTTCCCAGCAGACTATGGAACAGAGAGGTAACTACACTGTCTTTTATAGCCCTGATTCAGCAAAGCACGTTAAGCATGGTCTTTGGCCCACCCCAACTCAGCAAAGCAGGGCTTTAAGCATGTGTTTAGTTGTGTTCCTGAATCAGGCCCATAGGCCAATAGAGGCATTATTACCTAATTTGTTCAGCTGGTACCCGGACAATCCCAGTGCTGAGTGAAGACACTGTGGGCACTTCCTGCCAGCGTCATCCGTGTTCCCCATGGTAGCGCTAAAGTAATAATAGAAACTACCTGGTTCTGCTGTCGTGTGGCCCGTCAGGAGCTGAGTATACTCCTGAAGCAGCGTTCTTCCTGCAGCACTTTCCAAATATCATCAGGAATCACTTCGTCTGCTAGTTTTCTGGGGCCAGAACTTGGCAGTTGCTTGTAAGAACTCCAGCAACACTGCACCTTGCATGTGTGACTTCTGTTAGCTTTGAGGCAAGTGTTGGTTTAGTGCAGCATGGAGGCTGTTCTCTTCATGCTGTCTCCCCTCTTGCAGTCTGATCCAGCTCCCACTGGAGATAATGGGAGTGTGTCTACTGATTTCAGTTGGGTTTTGGCTCAGGGCCTTGAAACCCTCCTGGTTAATTACACTCCACTGCATGACCTTTGAGCCCAAATTTTCAAACCAGGTGACTGAAGACCCTGTGGCAAGGTTTTTATAAATAGTTACCATTATTGGACAGTGTCAGCAATTGCCCAGCCAGTTGTTTGTGTGCGCATGTTGTTGACCCACAGGCACAGCTGCAGGGTTTGTGTGTACAAATACAGGTAGGTGCACACTGAGTCACAGCACATGCAGGCCGTTATTTGGGCTTTGCTGTCGCCTAGCTGTGAGTTTTCTCCCTAGGGATGTGTGGTGTAAAAAGCTCTTACAGTTGTATGAGAAGGGATTTTGCTGGCTTGGTATGCCTAGCACAGCCTGATAATTATAACTAAGAGCCATGTCAAGTGGTTAGTGCCTAAGTTAACTATCTCCCCTAAACCCTGCTGCTCTCAAGATCACTTGTTAGGGTCACTTGGCAAAGCCACTCTGATCCTATGGAGAGAAGAGCCACAGACGTGCCTGTGCATAGATGTGAGCCATATTCTCCATGAGTGCGAGTGTCACGGTCCTGCCTGCCTGCTCATGAAGAGGGCTCAGGTGTGCAATGCCTATTGCCCCCGAGGTCCGGCATGAGCTGCGGCAGAGCAACGGGCTTGAAGGTGCGACTCCCACACAATATCCCCAAGGTTCAGGCAAACTGAGAGCCGGGTCCTGGGTGGCTCCTTGGAACCAATTCAACCCTCGTCTCTAATTTATTCTTCCTAAGGATACCAGCTAAGTTACAAAGAAGAGGAACCCCAGGCAAGTATCCTCAGGGTTGAGCACTGTTTAACGTCATCATCTGCCCTTCAGTTTGCACGGTGTTGAAACCCAGGAAAGTTCTTTGCTCTGCTGCAGAAAGCAGCAATGGAACGAGATGTGACAGCAATAGCCACCCAGCAAACAGGAGTTAGAAATACATTAAAAAAAAAGGCAGAACCTGTATTTTTAAGTGAATTGCAAAATTTATTACAGTGGTTTGATCCTGACAAGAACATTGCTAACAACCTCCTGCCAGAGAGGGAATGGAGAGGGCAGAGGGGAGAGAGACACTTAAGGACACTTTGCATTTTCTGAAAATAAAACATATTTTAAATCCCAAACCGTATTCCCCAGCTCCTTAAATCCACGAAATACAAAGTGAAACTGAACCACGGCCGTGGAGAGGCAAATGCATGAACATGTCGAAATGCAGAAACAAACATGCTCATCTGCATCTAATAAGCTTCCAGAAAATGAGCTGCTTATAGTCACAAAACTCTGCCAAGAAGGTAGGCGGCAGCCGTGCACAAGGCCTGCAAAGCGCCAAACTTCAGGAGAAACCGCGTTTCTCTGGGTACAAAAGTCCACTCTAAACAAGCACCTGGAATGGAAAATATATCGGACCCCACCCCTTACAAAGGGCCATTATTCACCAAGAATATGACCTGTGTTGACAGGGAGCTTCAGAACAGGGAGCACACAGCAATGTCGTTTAAGCCTGGCCTGTGCTGGAGCCTGGGAAAGGTCCCGTGCTCGGGGAATAGTAAAGGACAGTTGAGCTGAAGTAAACCAACGTGGCAGCCAGAATCAAGCACCTTCTGGTTTTACCTTGCCCTGCTAACTAAAGCGGGAGGGGGATGCATCCACGGTCAAAGGGGCGCTCTTGTATCTTCAGCTGTTCTCACCTCCCTGGGTGGGAAAGCTCTATTAACTGACACACATGAACATGCTGCCAATGGACAGACGCTGCTAACCAGGGCTTGAAGCAATACACTGCTGGGTGGCCAGGGTGATGCTCGGACGTCTCACCATTGGGCTGTAGGTTATGGTCTAATTACTCCCAGCCAGAGGAAGCAGGCAAATGGGGAGTGGAGTAGAAACCCTACTAACCAGCTCAGGAACCCAGGGCAGCCTTTATGCACATGGCCGACACATTTGTACTATGGCCGCTAATTCAGATGCACACACAGAAGACCCAGAGAGCAGAAAGAAATCCCTTTCTTCTCATATTCTCTCTGGAGGCTCTGTATCCTGCACTGGCTTGAATAGCATGAGGCTCAGAAGGGCTGTGGCCAGTTCATTACCCAGCTGCAGAACCCCTGGGCCGGGACTTTGTGCCACCTGGTCCTATAGTCCTCCAGCAGGGTCAAGTGCTTCGCTTTGACTTCAGTGTCCAAAAATGGAGGGGACACTAAATAAAAACGTGGAGGAAAATACAACATGAGTGAGCCAGGAGAGGCAGAGTGGAAAGGGTACAGTATGGTGCAGCTGGGCACAGTGTACAGGACCCTGAGTAGAATAAACAGAGAAAATGGTCAAAAGGGACTTTGACTCCACTAAGATAGTGCTCAGGTGATTGATTGTATTTGGTGCTAGGCTACTGCCAAAGGTTCCCCCGGATCCAGCCCATGGGAAGCATTCCCTAGAGCACACACGGAGCAGCTGGTGAGATGTCACAGTCAGAGTTGTCATTAGATATGGTGAGAAAAAAAGGTCCTTTGATGGTTACCTCTTACCCCTAGTCTATTTCCTGTGGCGCATCTCAGCCCTGTTCATTCCTGCTAATTCTGCCACTGCACACATACCAGGCATTATGTGGAGAAATCCAATAGGTGGGTTCAGGAGACTGTGCTTCTTGATTGACTCTCCGACTGGGGGAGCTGCACCCCAGTTGCTCTGGTCCCTAGATTACAAGAACACAGCTGGTGGCCAAGAAAGCACCTGAGTGGGAACGGGGAATGTTGTGGTGCAGAAAAGCAAGGGAAGCTGCAGCTGGAAACCTTCCAAAGAGAGTGAGATGGGACTGGAGGCGGGAGAAAACCTTCCCGGAGATGGAGGCTGAGCTAAGAGCTGGGGCCAGAGCTCAATGGAGTTGCGAGCGTCCCTGCTGAAATGTCAGCATCAGGGCCAGACTCTGCTCCATGGTGTGACCGGGGTCACTGAAGCAGTTGGAATGGAGCCGCTCTGGATCGTCCCTGGCATGCCTGGGTGTTGCAGGTCAGTGTGCAGGGGCCAACCTGAGGCTAAGGGCTGAGCACTGAAGCCATAAAGCACAGTTTGAAACTCCAGGATGACACCCCCCCGTCCCTGGTGCCCTGCTGCCCACCCGCTGCAGGCAGCCCCCTGGACACTCATTAGCAGGATGAGGCAGAACTTGTAATCGCTGCTGTGCCGGACTGGGGGTGGGGTGAGTGCTGGCCCTCCCTGTTAGCCAGCCACAAAACTTGAATAAACAGCACTGTAGCCAGTCAGGAAGCTGCTTATTCAGAAAGGGAGCCTTTGCCGCCCACCCCTGCACACACAACCGGCCACATTCAGCTCAGCAACAGCCCGGTGCAGTTACACCAGGGAGGAATTTGTCCCAGCAACCCTGCTCTCCACCCTGCTTGGAACGAGGAATGGTACGTTCCACTGCGCCTGCATCCCTCAGTCCGAGTCTGCACCTGCTCTTCACCCCACGGGGAATGGGGCAGCTCGTGGGGAAAAGGATGGCTCTCCACTGTCCAGTTCCCTGTTCCTTCCTGTAACAGTCTCCTGATTCATGTAACTGCAGGAGTCCATCAGCCCGTCCTAGGGGCACACTTGCCTGGCCAGCCCGCAAGCAGCTTCCAGCCCAGGGGGGTGCAGGACACAGGCTAGGAGATGCAGAGATGAATGACTGAACAGAGGAGCTGCGATTTCTCAGCACTTGGATACTATGGGGCTGTGCTATAATATTGACCTCAGAGAACAAGGCGATTCCCCAGTCAGAATGTGACCAAAAGTCTGCTAAGGCCCCTGACGCTGGTCAGCCGGCCTATTGCTGCAGCTGTGCACTGGCTGTGGTGACACGGTGACCCTATCTCAAGCACTATCTCCTGACCCAAAATGGCTTTCCTGAGCTCTGGGGCTCAAAATCCCAGGCCCGCCTGGGACACAGGGCAGGAGCAGGATGGTGATATGATCATTTCTCTTCCCTGGATTTAATGGCTGGATCCAGGTACATGTAGGTGGTTGCATTTTCCCCAGTACCCTGTCCCAGTCTATGTCCATTCCAGGGGGCTCTAGCATCTCCGTTCTGCAAACTATTCCACAAGGCAGTCTCCCTGCTCAACCCCTGCAGGCCCATTGCTTGCTCCACAAAGTGTTTCACCCCCAGGGAGGTGGCGACAACCACAGAGCATCATTTGGAGAAGCCCTGGGCTGTCGGAAGGCTAAAACCAGCAAGGTATCTTTTTACCTCTCTCTCCCCCCTTTGCAAGTGGGGTCCTGAGATATGTTTGTGGGCAGAAGGTGAGGGGGCAGGGTTAGGGCAGACAGCTGCTGAGGAAAAATCAGTCAAAATGAACATAAATAAGAGAAAAGCCATTTCTAAGATTTAATCCTCCACACCCTGGAATTTGTGTTAAGCCAAATCGATGCTATGTAGTCAGGGAAAGCCAAATGTAGGACAGGCAATGGTCCCAGAAGGGCAGTCCGCACAGAGTGGAACATATTCGTCTTAGAGCTGTTAAACCATAGTTACTGTATATTAAAATAAATCATCTGAAACTTTCCAATAGTACTGGTTAAATATAATCACCGGGCGAGGCGGCGATGGACAGGCAGTGCTGCTAGGCCCGCCCCCCCAGCTTCCTTCTGCCTCTCCTGCATGCTCCCAGCAGGGAATGTCTCTGAGGAGCTCCGTTGCGAGTCTCTTGTCGGGACGAGCCACACTCAAGTCCGCTTGGCATGCAGCATTTCAATGAGCAGGTTGTTGCAAGGCACCTCCCCGCTCAGGTGCTTGTGGTAGAGGTACTCCTCGGCCTGCATGCTGAGGGAGCGGATCTCAGCCAGCCGCAGAAGGAGCTGACGGAACTTGTCTGCGGAGTGAGGGTAGTGGCAGATGGTGTACTCCAGCAGAGCTGCGTTGGCTTTCTCCTGAGCATCCTTCGACAGGCTGTGGTTTTCCAAATATTTCACATCTGCAACAGGAAAACAAAAGGCAGCGTCTCATGAAATGGCTCAAAGCGCAGCCCTGTGTCACATTTACATCAGACCCCATTATGGACCCACAATGCACCTAGACACTGGTCTCTAAGAACGCTGCAGTGCTGCTCCAGACAGCACTTCCTCCAGTCCCAGGGCGGCCGCACACATTCCAGGGGAGATGCCCACACCTGGTGCTCTTCTGCGGGGACGTTCCTATTATTGTTGTTTTTCTGACTCTCAGGTAAAAGGGATTAAGTCTACAAGAGGCTGCTCTTTTTGTATGGAAAAGCATAGCATTAAGGGACAACAGGAACCTGGGAGGAGACAGGAAAGACTGAAGGACAGAAGTGCTTACACCCTTCTGCTTCCATCTGTATCACCACCACTGCAATGGTAGGACACTGACTGTGAGACACACCCTCCTCTGATCTCTGCTGGGTGCTCTAAAGAAAGATTAAATCCATCCAGTGTGCCACAGGGAGGGAGGAAATCCCGACACTCTGCCCCCCACATTCAGCAATGAGTTTAATGCTGAGCATGTGAGCCAGTTCTTACGTGTGCGAGTACTCTACTGAGAGGCCATTGCTGTCCAAACAATCGTTGCACCTGATTGAATCTGCTAGCACTTTTGAGACAGAGAATTCCAAACCCTGATCTCCCAGCAAGTGGGAAATAAAACCCTGCTCCATTGCCAAGTTCCCATCAAATCCTGCAGGTACCGGGGTGGGGAAGGGGAAGGAGTTTTGGGGAGAGTTTCTTGTGGACCGTCCCACAGGCCCTAGTAAGGTGGTGAAGCATCTCGGCGACACTCTCAGGAAGAGAGCTGGGCAGCAAATGTTCATCAAAGAGTTTTCTCTATGAAAAAATGTGAAAAAAACTTGTTATGCTTTTTCACCTGTTCTTTGACCTGCTTGAGTCATGAATGCACGAGGAACTGGCTTGGAGCTTGAGGAAAGAGGGTGTTTGTGAGAGGAAAGCACTCTGGGCTGGAGGGAGGGGACTAGCAAGGCCACACAGGACCAGCCTCGGGGTGGGTTTTGGTGTTCACTTAATCAGTCAGCCCCCGAGAGTAAAGAGAGTCTGCCGCAAGGGGATGAGGGCACCAAACCATGAAAGTGGGCAAGTCACAGCAAGGCTATGCAGCCGAGTACAAAGCACTGGGAAGAGGAACGACTAGAGGTGAAAACGTTCAGCTTAACAGGAGAGGCGGGAGAGAGAGTGTGTGTGTGTATATACACATGCGGGGGGGGGGGGGCGTGTTCTGCGATCCACAGAAAAGGGTGGGAGAGAGAGAAGTGGCCTAGCTAGAAAATGGAATTGTTCTTATACCGTATAAGGGACGGGAAAAACCTACGCAGGAACCCTGCCCCTTGTTATAAAACAGAGTAGCAGAAGACAGATGAACTACTAGAGGACCTTAGGGACCTTTTCATCCCTCATTTGTATGAGCAGAACCATGGAGGATACTGCAGAGCCAGCGGGGTACAGCCAGAATCCAGGCAGCTAAACAGCTGCCAGGTCAGCAAGTTCGCAGCTTCTAGAGCTGATGAATTTTTAATGGCTGCTGTGCCCACTTCCATCTCACACAATCAAAGAAAATCTTATAGGCCATTAGCCTTAGAGCTCATCCATTTCTGAATGTCTATGAAAAGACTGGCTTAATTCCCTGATAAACCTGGTGTTTTCAATGTGGCAACAGAGCTCAGTAAACATAGTAACCCTGAGCCTTTATGCCTCGCAAGTGTCTAAACAATTCTCCGGTAACACTGTTGTTGCCTGGAACTGGCCTTACTGAAATGCAAGGCAGAAAGCTCTCCGGTGCGGAGCCACCACCTAGCTACTGAGAGACACAGCTCCTAGCACATTGAGCCCTACATGAGCACCCCCAGATTATCCTTATAATCTGCACACCTTGCTGTGGGTTTCAAATCAGTAAGACCAGGATGCCGCCCTGGTAAAAGATCATGATAAAAAAATCACTTAAAAGCACTTGCTGCTGTTTGTGAGAGAAGAAAACACAAACCCACACCCTGGCTTTCGTCTGTCCCTAGTGGGGCTAATGCCTGACTGTAATCCTATTTTCCATATCAAGCCACTCTTCAGTCAGGTACTTCCCGGCAGCCATAGAGCCCAATCTCACGTCCACGATCTGCAGCTCTGCTATCTTGGACTGTGACCTCATAAGCCAAGCAGGGTTGATCCTGCCCACGGCGAGGAGGAACCTCTTCCTCCAGGACAATGCTGAGCCCAGTGCTCCAGTGGGCTGCATTCTGATGGAGGTACCACCGTTCAGGTGAGATGGACCCAGAACCTGGCCACCAATCAGTATTAAGTGGTAATTTGACAAAAATCAGAGTGAGTTATCCAAATGTCAGCACTTAATTGTACTCTAGTCAGATCCCAAGGGAAGGGTTTGGCTTCACTGGGCTAATCGAATGTGCAGTTCATTTCTCCTGTTTGCTCTCTCTGACACCAAGGCCATGTCTGCACTCGTGAGCTTACAGTGGCACGGCTGCCCCGATGCAGCTGCGCCGCTGCAAGGCCGCTCGTGTAGCCGCTCTAGGCCGATGGGAGAGAGCCTCCGCCGCCGACATAAGACCACCTCCACCAGCGGCGGGAGCTCTGCTGGCGGGAGAAGCTCTCTCACTGGCAGTGTTGGGCACACCACCACTTTTTTCCCCGCACCCCCTGAGGGACATAAGTGTTGCCAACATAAGTGGTAGCATAGGCATGGCTTTAGTCTTTCTGGCCACTCCAGGTCCTTTAAGGAGTTTTATGACAACTCTTCCCAGCAGGTGGCAGGATGCTATTCTGGCACTTGACAATACAGAAGACTTGAGTTTTCCATTTTTGTTCGGCTAATTAATTTCATTTTTTAAATCTAACATGTTGAAATCTGGGTGATGTGTGTATTTAACAAAGGCTTTGGTAAAATGGTACTAAACATACTCCATGTTATTAGGCTACTACAGAAGTACACAATGATCATACCTGAGCCCCGACTTACATGAGACCGTGCTATAAACATCCGCTCTGAAAACATTTGGGCCGATGGAGTTAACAGGATTGCCTGTACTTGGTGGAGCTGCAGCCACAAGTGCCATTATGTCTGATAGCAAATCTGTTACGTCTGTGTGCACGTATCCAGTGGAGAGATGGGCCTCGGCAACCAGCCCTTTTAGGTTCAAGTTCAGATGAGAGACGGCAGCTCAAACGTCTTGAAGCTGAATATTGTGAAGAGTCAGAATTGGGTCCAGATTTGGAGCATGGCAGTTTGGAGTGTTTGGGCCCAGAGGTTTCCTTCTACCCATTATAGACACTATTAGATCTTAGTGTAATAAAGACTCAGCAGTTCCCTGGAAATGCCTTCACGTGAGACTGCCTCAAACGTCTGTAATACAAAGGAATCTGTAACAGAAATTGCCCAGGGAAAGGACTGAGCAAGAATACACAGTGACTTACAGGGAAAAGATTAGGGTACAAATTCCTGGGGTAATTCTATTGACTGCTGTAGGGTTTTACACCAAGACTGAATTTGGCTTTAGAACTGCAGAAAAGTAGAATGAGTTAATGTTCTACCCAAATGGATTAAAGACTTTAAAAAGTATATTAGACAGATGAGAAGCAGTGATGGCAAAGGAAGTCTCTTGGTATGTGTGGAGAGAAACACAATCATCAAGTATGTGCTTCTGAGATGGATGAGCTACTGAACTTCTTCCTGGAATCTGTCTCCAACAAGCAAAATAAAACAAAGTCTGGAATAGACAATGGAGACAGGATGATAAGAGGCAGGTCATAGAGTACTTGGAAAAGTTAAATATATACAGATCAGCAGGCCAGTAGGATAAGCACCCCAAGGCTTTTGGAGAATGAACTCAGTCATTGGATACCATTACTGGAAGTGATGGAGAATCAGGCTTAGCAGACCAATGGTACTACTTCTGTAAATGTTTATTTGAGTGAGGGTCTACAGAAGTGGCCCCTCCATGATGGAAAGGAATGCAGCAGATACAATGTAGCTAGACTGTAGCAAGCGCTTGATACAGAGTCTCACACATTATTACTGCACAAATGTTTCCAGCTGGTTTTGATATGAGCAGTTACCTGGAATGAAAACGGGCTGAAAAGCCCTAACAAAGAGCCATGACACAATCTGCTCTGCCTCACAATGGCTACGTGCCCACTGCCCTTTCCAAATGTTTTAATTTTAATAAATACCTCTACATGGTCTGGAAAAGGGGAACTCAGAATCAGCGCATAACTGAAATTTGGCCCCAGTTCATCAAAGCAGCCAAGCACGTGCTTAAGTGCCATTAGGCTTTAAGGTGAGCAGGTGTTTAAGTGCTTTGTTGAACTGGGGCCTAAACTGAAAGGAGTTGCAACCTTTTTCGGTAAATATCTATCACAGAGGCCTATCAGACAGTGGAGCAGTCTCATAAGGGAAGTGGCGGAAGCCTCATTGCTCCAGTCAGATGAATAAAGCCCCCAAGAATATGCCATAGGGAACAATCCTGAACTGGCTGAGGGCTGGACACGGCGATGATCTAATGGGCAGTTCCCATCTCACTGTTGCTTTGTACTGTGTAGCATAGTCACAAAGTATCTGAGGTTCTGTATAACATACACTTTATCAGATCAGAATTCCCTTGTCACTCCTGTGGCACATTTGTTCTTAACGCGCCTGTCTCTGTTATATTACAGCATGTTGTTATGAAATCTCTTTATCTGCATAAGGTTATTATGAGTGTCATTTAAAAAAACAGAAGTTATATTGATAAATGTCAAATCTATACCCTGAGTTGGCTCAACAATAGCTAGTTCTACTTGATGAACTCACCTGGTTCTCAGAAAGACCCTATTCACTGGTTAATTGAATATTTGAATAATCTTTTCATTCCTGCAATGAATAAAGAATGTTGTCCAAATAACATTGACTCACTTCATTTAGAGACACTGCAGCAGTTGCAAAGACTCTGTCCTGTGACAAAGCAGC